TCCCGGCAAAGCAACCTAACAGCGATGTGTAGGAGCATATCTGGAAGCATTCCCCTTAAGATTCGGATGAGAATCCAGTTGTAGAATTCTGCTGTTCTCGCAGTCGTAGTCGCATTTGCGATGACAGTCGCAGTGGCAACGGCAGTCGCAGTCACAGCCTCAGCCTCAGCCTGCCTCAGCCTCAGCCTCAGCCTGCCTCAGCCTCAGCCTCAGTCAGTCCAGCCTCGCAGCTCCAGCACAGCCTCAGCCTCAGCCTGCCTCAGCCTCAGCCTGCCTCAGCCTCAGCCTGCCTCAGCCTCAGCCTCAGCCTGCTTCAGCCTCAGCCTCAGTCTGCCTTCAGCCTCGGCCTCAGCCTCAGCCTGCCTCAGCCTCAGCCTGCATCAGCCTCAGCCTCAGCCTCAGCCTGCCTCAGCATCAGCCTGCCTCAGCCTCAGCCTCAGCCTCAGCCTGCCTCAGCCTCAGCCTCAGCCTGCTTCAGCCTCAGCCTCAGTCTGCCTTCAGCCTCGGCCAGCCTCAGCTGCCTCAGCCTCAGCCTGCATCAGCCTCAGCCTCAGCCTCAGCCTGCCTCAGCATCAGCCTGCCTCAGCCTCAGCCTCAGCCTGCCTCAGCCTCAGCCTCAGCCTGCTTCAGCCTCAGCCTCAGTCTGCCTTCAGCCTCGGCCTCAGCCTCAGCCTGCCTCAGCCTCCTGCCTCAGCCTCAGCCTCAGCCTGCTCAGCATCAGCCAGCCTCAGCCTCAGCCTCAGCCTCAGCCTCAGCCTGCTTCAGCCTCAGCCTCAGTCTGCCTTCAGCCTCGGCGTCAGCCTCAGGCTGCCTCAGCCTCAGCCTGCATCAGCCTCAGCCTCAGCCTCAGCCTGCCTCAGCATCAGCCTGCCTCAGCCTCAGCCTCAGCCTGCCTAGCCTCAGCCTCAGCCTGCTTCAGCCTCAGCCTCAGCCTGCCTTCAGCCTCGGCCTCAGCCTCAGCCTGCCTCAGCCTCAGCCTGCATCAGCCTCAGCTCAGCCTCAGCCTGCCTCAGCCTCAGCATGCCTCTGCTCGCCTCAGCCTGCCTCTGCCTCAGCCTCAGCCTGCTTCAGCCTGCCTGCAGCCTCAGCCTGCCTCAGCCTCAGCCTCAAGCCTCGCCTCAGCCTCCTCAGCCTCATCAAGCCCTCAGCCTCAGCCTCAGCCTGCCTCAGCCTCAGCCTGCTGCCTCAGCCTCAGTCTGCCTTCAGCCTCGGCCTCAGCCTCTGCCTGCCTCAGCCTCAGCTGCATCAGCCTCAGCCTCAGCCTCAGCCTGCCTCAGCATCAGCCTGCCTCAGCCTCAGCCTCAGCCTGCCTCAGCCTCAGCCTCAGCCTGCTTCTGCCTCAGCCTCAGTCTGCCTTCAGCCTCGGCCTCAGCCTCAGCCTGCCTCAGCCTCAGCCTGCCTCAGCCTCAGCCTAAGCCTGCCTCAGCCCCAGCCTGCCTCAGCATCAGCCTGCATCAGCCTCAGCCTCAGCCCTGCCTCAGCCTCAGCCTCAGCCTGCTTCAGCCTCAGTCTGCTTCAGCCTGCTCAGCCTTCAGCCTCAGCCTCAGCCTCAGCTCTGCCTCAGCAGCCTGCCTCAGCCTCAGCCTGCCTCTGCCTCAGCCTCAGCCTGCTTCAGCCTCAGCCTCAGTCTGCCTTCAGCCTCAGCCTCAGCCTCAGCCTGCCTCAGCCTCAGCCTGCCTCAGCCTCAGCCTCAGCCTGCCTCAGCATTCAAAATGTGGCCCAGGAATGGAATTCTGTGAACTCGAAAAACACGAAGTGGCCTACAGTTGGCTCCGGGCATTCAAAATCATGCCCAGGAGTAAGATTCTGGGAACTCGAAGACCACGAAGTGGCCCTGCAGTTGGCTCCGGGCATTCAAAATGTGGCCCGGGAGTGGAGTTCTGGTAACTCGAAGACCACGAAGTGGCCTACAGTTGGCTCCGGGCATCCAAAATGTGGCCCGGGAATGGAGTTCTGGGAAATCGAAGAGCACGAAGTGGCCTACAGCTGGCTCCGGGCATCCAAAATGTGGCCCGGGAATGGAGTTCTGGGAAGTCGTAGAGCACGAAGTGGCCTACAGTTGGCTCCGGGCATTCAAAATGTGGCCCGGGAATGGAGTTCTGGGAGGTCGAAGAGCACGAAGTGTTTGACTGTTTGCTTGAAACGAGCCCGGCCCTGAGCCTGGCCCTCGCTGTCCGGATGCCGCCCAGACCTCCCTTCTGAGTCATCAGATGCTCTCTTTTGACACCACTAGAAAAATATCAGTCTTCGCTGTTAGGTAACAAGCGTCCGCCGACAGCGCTCAAACACTGGCGCTCGCCCTGCAGCACTTGCCCCACTAGTTGGCCCGCTCGAGCCTCGCTCGTACTCGCAAGTCGCAACTCAGACAGGTCGGCCCGAATGAGATGTCCCCGACGTGGCAACATCCAAAAAACCCTTCCCCGCCCGCGCCACCTAGCGTGTCCCTTCTTGCTCTTCCTCCAGTGCGCTACCTCGTCCCCAGGCTACTATGGGCGCGCGGCTCGGTTCGGGGCCGCTACGGTACGACGCACGTCCTGGCCGCCCCGAGCCTGCAGAAGCGCCCGCATAGCCAGCTGTCGCATCTCGCGCGTTCGCGCACACGCGCCGTCGCACGAAGGGCCCGACGCACTGGCCACATCTGTCGAATCCTGCAACATATCCCCAGGCAAGCGAGGTTCCCGCCCGAGCACATGTTGGCCAGGCGAGAGGCCATCCACACGCAGCATTCGACGCTTGGCATCAGTCGTGGCATCGACACACACTCAATCCAAGCTCGATCATATTTCGGCTGGACGGTCTCCAGCAGTCGCTTGACAATCCGTTCCCACCATCCCCCGCGCGCGTCCGTCCTTCTGTTCTGCCCCTGCCCCCCCCCAGTTACTGGCGCTATCTCAGTCTCTTCTAGCTCTAGAGGGCCAGTCAACGCGGCTCCGATGTCAGCCGCCCCCGCGCCCACTGCAATGCGTTCGGCCGGGCCAGCCCAACGCCTCCAGTTCTGTCGACGGCCATCTCTGATAGTAGCCGAGGTTTCCAGCTGCATCAAGGGCACCACCAACTGGAAAGACGACGCGTCGCCCGCCGCGCGAAGAGCAGGAGCCGCATGTTTGGTGCCCTTTCAGCCTGGAATACTCATGCCGCCTATCCCCAGCTGCGCATTGAACTCCGCAACGCGGTGACCCGAAGCAACCCCCAGCGATTTCGGCATTTTGTTTTCGCGACAGATATCACACTGGAAACCTCGCGCCAGTCGGACCCCCTTCGTCGCGCCCGCCTCCGCGATTCAGGATTCGCATCATCTCCCGGGGGGCCCATGGCCCAAGTTGATGTGGAGCTTCTTGAGGGCGTTCCGACTGCACTGGGCATTTGCTATCGGATGGGGCGTCTGCGCTGACTCTGGCACGCCATGTCCGGCCGCGCTGCCCCCGGGGCCTCCGGCGAGGCAGCGCTGCAGCAGCTGGGCCCCCAGCCGCCGCCGCCTCTCTCGCTCGGCGGGCTCGCGGAAACTAGACTCCGACGGCGGCGAGTCAAGCTCTCCCTGGAGGCTCAGAGACTGACCCCCACGCTGCCCAGATCTGCGCGAGGTCGTCGGCGCCGCGGAGAATCGCCCCGCAGAGATCTTCGGCGTAGATTCCAACCCGCTGTGCCACTTTGCCCGAGACACACCGTTGGATGCCCCCTCGATTGCCGCATGCCCGTGGCCCCTCGGACACGGTTTGCAAGCGCGCTTGGCCAGTCGCGGCGAGGATGCCAGCGCGCGCACGCTGCCGCATAAAAGGTGCCCCGCCCGGCTCTCGTAAACCATGCGCGCACATATTCTCGCGCGCCTCGATCACGCGCGTCATGCGTCGTTCCATCTCGGGCATCTTCCACGCAATCGACCGATTCGGGCGTTCGAAGATCGCGTCGTCGCCGCGGTCGAACTGCGCGCGCACCTCCTGTTTGCTGCGCCGCATGCACGCGCGCGCTAGACACGCGTTGTGCACGCACTCGGTTGCGCTGACGTCACTGGCGTTCACTGTCGCAAAGCCGCCGCGCCATGTGCAGGGAAGACGAACAGTCAGCACACGGGGTCGGAACCGCCTCGCAGCCGCCCCCCGAGCCCCCGCCGGTCTCCTCGGACTGTTTCGCGACCCGGGGCAGTGAGACAAACTCAGCTGAGCGCCATCTGGTTCTCTCCGCGGGGGCCCCCAGAATCTCCTGGATCTGATCTTGAAGAGCACGCTTGGAACGAAATTTGAAGACCCAATCCCCAGGAAGCTTCATCGCGTCGCAACATACCGTGTCCTCGCAGGTCTGTTCGGACGCGGCTTGGGCGGCTGACTCGTCGCCGACTCAAACCTGCTATTCGATCCCCAGAGCTGGTCGGGCATGTTCTGGAGCTCGTCGATGTAGCAGGCAGCCTTCTCGCGGCCCAGAATGCCCGTGACGTAGTTCCCCGACTCGGCCACATCCAGGTCGACGGCGCGGGCCAGAACGTTGAACTTGACGCGGTCGTCGGCGGGGCCCGCCTCGCCCTGCAAGGCCATCAGCGACGGCGTGCTGAGGATGAGCGGCGCGTCACCCTCCACGATGGCCGCTGCGATGAAACCCTGCGCGCCGCCTGCCGAAACTGGAAACGCCGCGCTCCTCGTTGGGGGTCAGCTTGGCGCCCATCTCATCGATCACCTTCTCAGGCTTCAGCAGCGCGTTCTCGCCGATGAGCATGCGTCCGCATCAGGGGCCCACAACCCCCTTGCCCACCGGGCAAGGAAACGCGACTTCGCGCTGCGGTCTCAAGGTCCGTCTCGATTGCGTCCTGGGCTGCCACGGCATCGCGTCGGTCTCGAAGCTGCTGCAATATCGCGGCGAGACTCGCTTCGCGAGCGCTCGATCCTTCAAACGTGACGAACGCCGCGCCAGCACCAGTCGTGCGTGGTCTGAGCTCGCCGTGACCTTTGCCTCTGCCTTTCTTGTTCGGGCATTATCTTGACCAGTGCCCTGCCTCCTTGCATTTGTGGCACCTAGTCTTCCGGCGTCGTCGAGCTCTCGCCGAAACATGATCTGCAGCTTGTCGGCCTGGTAAAAAATCCGGGACTTCTTGGCGCCGTTGATCCCCCGTCGTTCTTCCTTCCACGTCGCCGCCAACACCTCGACCACATCAGATTCCTCGAACATCTCCTCGACAGCCTCGTCCGCGCCGTGCCCCTCGCCGCCGACAAGCAGCGCATCTATGTCGGCGCAGTCGTCCTCAGGAGCCGGTCGACTCGAAGACAGAAGCCCGTCGAACTCGTTGATCCAACCTTTGTCGTCATCCCCTGCCTGATCAGCCATCATCACGCCGGCCTCGGCGAACCTGAGCTTCGGGACCTTGCACGTCGGGAAAACCGTACGGATCGTTTTCCCCATCTCATCCGCTGAGTAGCCGGCCGCTTTTACCTTCACGATCGCCTGCTGGTCGGGCGTGTTACCACTTTTGTGAAGCAACAACACGCCTGGGCCTCTGTCGGCGACTTGAAGTTCGCTCGGGCCGCGCACCTCTGGAACACTTCCTTGGCTCGTCCGGAGCACGCCGTCACAGCTTCGCCCTCGTGCTTATGTAACGTGAGGACCGTTTCCAAGTGCTCGCCCAGAACGTCCTCGTGCTCCTTGACAGGCCATCGTTTGAGCAGAAGGTCCTCTAACGTCGATTCGCCGCCTTCTCGCTCGTAGTCCTCGAGTGCCAAGTCATCAACGATCTCCAAAGTTCCGAGCCTTGCAGCAGTGTGTAGATGAACGGCCCTTGCTGATTCGCCTCCAACTTGCGGCAAGCCCTCGCGGACTTGACCCACTTGATCCATTTCTTGAGCTCCTGGTGGCTGCTCTGACTACCGCTACCCGTGCAGGCCCGAAGCCCTTTCTGGCCCGTAGTGCTGTCAGCATTCATGCTCATGACCTAGTCTGTCGTCTGCCAGCAGTGCCTCCTGGCAGGTCGCAAAAAAAATCGCCAAGCCTATGGCGCTGTGAACTCCTCGCTCACGCTACCAATACATAAATCATGGCCTCTCAGGTCTCTGGATGATAACAAGTTTGTCCGGCACCCTGCGTTCGCGGAACATTCCTCTATCCACAAACGGTTGCGGAAGCAGGCGTGAGAGACAATCACTGGTCTGAGGCACATACTGACAAACATATAATCTTGCTGCTCCTGCTCCTGCTCCTGCTCCTGCTGCTGCTCCTGCTGCTGCTGTTGCTGCTGTTACTGCTGCTGTTGCTGCTGCTGCTCCCTGCTCTTGCTCCTGCTCCTGCTCCTGCTCCTCCTCCACCTCCTCCTCCTCCACCTCCTCCTCCTCCCCATGCTGTTCCTCCACCTCTCCAAGCTCCTGCACATGCGCAGGGGCGGGATGGGGACCCGCGCGGTGCGTCAGGGGGGGGACTGGCCCAAGGGGGAAGCGTCGACCTGGAATCGGCGACACTTCGCCGATACATCGATCGGATCGAGATGGAAACAAGCTCGAGCTCTGGCAAACTCGAGTCTCATGTTTTTCACCGATCCTCCAGGGCCCTTCTGGAGGCCTCTGCTGGAGGCCCCTGCGGGCCCCGGGTCTCCGCTCAGGGGCGGACCATCGAGCTGGAATCGGCGACACGTCGCCGACAGAGCGGCGTCAGGCCCCCAATGGCGAATGCGCGCGCTCCTGCAAGGTGTGGGCCATCGGGCCTCATATCGGCGATGAGCCGGCGACTCTGGGGGTCGACACGTGTCTCCCCTGAGCCAGTCCTCCCCATGTGGTGCATGTGATCCCCCCTGATCGTCCTGCGCCTCCTCCTCACTTCTCCCTCCTTCCCCCCCGTCCTCCGTGACCCTCCCTCCCTCCTCCCTCCTCCCTCCTCCCTCCCTCCTCCTCCAGCCGCCGTCACGGCCCAGGGGTTTGGGTGCTGATCCCAGGGATCAGCGAAGCCCCTTCCTGGACAGAGGCCATACGCGCTGGCCCGCCTCTAGCCGAGGCGGCTGGCCGTGCCATTGCAGCTCGCACCGTGGCAGCCTCCGGGCCCTCCGCCACGGCTCGCGCGAGCTTCCCCCCCGAGCCCGCGTGGCACAGGCGGGAACGGGCTCGCCGCTCGCAGGATCGCGTGCTGGTGCGAATCGCGGCGGCAGCCCGCCGCTTGGACCAGCACCACAGCAGCATGACGTATGCCCTTGACAAGCGTGGCGCCACTCCAGGAGTGCGCCGAGGCGGCCAGCTGCCGCCACGCTTCTGGGACTGCACTTCCTGCTCCAGGGCGAACATCTACAGCTCATCGACGTGCAGATTCTGTTCGCACCCCGCGACGCAGCCCGACGCCCAGCCCGACGTGTGCGACGACGACGAGGACTCCAGCGAGTGGATCCAAGGGCGACCAGGGCGGCGACACCGCAGCCGCCCACCCAAGGCCAAGGCGCAGCAGCAGACTCAGTGGAAGACAGGAGCTGCGCCATGGCATACCTGGTCATGGGACAACGCCACCGTGCCGCCTCAGCGCTCACAGAGCGCAGCACCAGCCAAGGAGCCAGCCACGCAGCCCGCGCCTCCACCTTTGCCGCGGCCAGCAGAGCCAGAGGTCGCGCAGGCGCACAGGCTGTGGCTCCCCCCGCCAAACTCAGTCAATGAGCTCAAGGCACACCGCGCGAGGCTGAAGGACTCCCTAGACGCCATCGAACGACAGATCCACTCGGCCTACGAGATGGGTCAGACGCGCACTGTGATCAGTGCGCTGGAGCAGGACTACTCGGTCATCTTGTACCAGGTCATGTACGCTCGAGATGCCAAGACGAGAGTTGATCAGCAGAAGGCATACCTCGACCGCATACGCAAACGACTTAGTGACGCCCAGAAGCATGAGAAAGATTTGCAGGAGCAGGCCAAGGTAGCGGCCGCTCACACGCACAGCCTCATCGAGGATGTTAAGAAAGCGGAGGAGTTGCTTGACCACTTCACGCAGCTGGAGAAGGCTGAGCGAGATGAACAAGGTTCGGCAATGCAAGTCGAGCCCGACGGTGCTGCTACGGATGCCACAGCAGCGCACCAGAGTACACCAGCGAATGCTTCGGCAGTGGCGCAGCTCGCAGCCATGCATGCCACCAACATCGACCTGTCAGAGAAGCTGCTAGCACTGACAGCCCATATGGCCACCATCCAAGCGGCGCTCAACATCCAGGTGCAGAACGGCAACAAGCCCGCCGTCCCGCAGTCCCAGCAGGCGGCTTCACCTGGGCCAGGGGCGCCAGCCGCGCCGCCAGCCGTCACCGCCGTGGGGCAGGCTCAGCTGCCCACATCGTGGCCGCTTCCCCCATCAGCCAACGGGGGAGTGTCGCCAGTGGAGGCCGCTGCACGCGCAGCCGAGGAGGCAGCCGAGCCAGGTGGCGACAACGGCCCGCCCGCGGCGCAGCGCCGCATGGGAGGCACCCGCAAGGCTACCCCAGCGGCGGGCCGATCAGGAGGTCGAGCGCACACACCACATCGTGCACCAGGACAGAGCATCCTGAAGGTCACCTTCGACAAGACAGCTCAAAGGCAGAAAGCAGCCAATGCAGCAAGCAACGTACACTCGGACGATTCTGCCGATGATGACGACATGGAGGGCACGGCGGCCGCAGAGCCGACGGGTGAGCAGGCTCCAGTTGCCAGCAGTGAGCAACAAGCTTTGCATGTCAGCGCTGAGCCGCCAGAGAGCGATCTGTGACAAACAGATCTGTCTGCAGTGGAAGTGCATGCGCCGCTGCAGACAGCAGACGGCCTAGAGGATTGTCCCACTCCGCCTCCCTCTCCCTCCGCTGAGCAGAGTCTGAACCACCTAGGTCTCAGTCCCAGCCCGCTGCCACCTCTGGCTCCGACTAAGGACCTACGTCTAAGGAGATGGAGTACACCTCTGGGAACCGACATACTTACGTATGCAGAGCTTTGGCACTCTACGACTATCAATGACTTTGGCAAATTATCTACGACTCCTGGCCCCGGGATGGAACCTACAAGTGTTCCCACCAGGATCGATATCTACACGGACGGAACCGCTGGTGGTTTCAAGAATTGGAATGACTCAAATTGCCCTCCAGCTTGGTCATTCGCTGTCATTGCGGAAAAGGAAGCTCACATATGGCTTCTTGGTTACGCTGCTCGTACCATCTCCGCCTCGTGCATATATCATCAATCTCTGCTGTCTGCAGTTGCGGAGTTTGAGGCGGCCATATGGGCCGCCACATGGTGCATACAACATGCTGATATACACAACATGTCTGTGACGATACACACCGATAACATGGAGGTGGTCAGAGGTGCTAGTCTGGGGGCCCTCAAGGGTAACAGTTTGGATCTCAAACGTACTCTGGATGGGCTCGTACAGGTCCTCAAACGGCAGGCGCAGGCTTTCACTTGGGCCCATATTTCAGGTCACCAGGGAGCCCCTTGGAATGAGATGGCGGACACCCTTGCCAGACTTGTTGCCATGGACATTCTGCCTGAGTATCCAGACTTTCAATGGAGAGTCCAACTGCACCTGCCATGGCACGCTCGGGCAATTCCGTGGCTGTGGACAGATTTTCTCAGTACCGAGCAGCGCTCGCAGTATCCGCCTGCGCAAAGGGTGCCGTTGCCGCCAGCCCTGAATCCCACCACCTCCATGAAGGATTACATACCCGCTCCCGCAGAAGCCGCCACCCCCACCTTGGGACACAAACTACAGCATAGAACGCCCAAGTTCTGGGTCGCCACTGCCAACGTTCTTACTCTACATCCCAACATCTGGGATGGCTTACAGGACTCTACGGGTCCAGGGCCTGGAAGGCTCATGCAGTTGGCCACGCAGTTTTCCGCTCAACGGTATCTCTTGGTTGGGGCTCTGGAGACTAGGTTACGCGTACACAAAGCACAGACTGTGGGTGAATACTTCGTCCTGCACTCTACTGCTACCCCTCAGGGCTCGGACGGGTGTGCTCTGTGGATCCACGAGGGTATCGAGTACCTACCAGGTCGCCGTATCACTAAGCAGATGTGTCGAGTATTACACGCGGAACCAGCCAGACTGATTGTGACGATTCGAGGGCACGGCCTTTCAATCAATGTTATTGTGCTGCATGCTCCCCACTCACGTTCCAAATCACTTTTGCGGTCTCCTGATGTCAAGGTAGCCGAGTGGTGGGACACCACTCTACAGCTCGTGAGGAATACACGCCTCGGTGCGGAACATCTCATCACCCTAACCGACTCCAACGCTGCGCTGGGAAGCGTTGCATCGCCAGCTGTGGGCAAACAGGATGAGGAAGAGGAGAATATAGCAGGAGTCCACTTCCACCGGTTCCTCTTGGATACACAACAATGGGCTCCTTCTACGTTTCTCCCTTCGTAGTCGGGCATATCGGGCCCCTGGACGGCACCATCCAATAAAAAAACAAGGCACGTCGCAGAGACTATGTAACCACTTCGGACAGTGTGGCCGTCTTGCAGCAGGGTGTGGACGGAGTGGTGGATCTTACTGTCGCTCAGGAGGATCATCAGGCTGTAGGTGCCTTACTTCTCTTGCCTCCCTCAGGTTGCATACAAGAGATCACATCCACTCACCGCATACCTCGCGATCCCGCATTGATCCAGGATCCCGAGGCCAGGGCAGCCTTCATACAGTTGCTCCAAAGGGCCCCTCATATTGAGTTCGCTACACACAGCTCGGATCATACACATATTCTGGATATACATGCACGTACATGCGTGCAAGAAGCTTTCCCTGTGAAGACTACGGACAGGGGACGACAGCCACGGCAGGGGACGACAGCCACGACAGCCACGACAGCCACGGCAGGGATACAATGAGTGCCATTGACCTACGCACAAAGGCGCTAAGGCAGGCTCGCCAGGTGCGAAGCACGGCAGCCAGGGCAGCTAGTGCAGTTGTATTTTTCTGTGGGCGCAACATACGCGCAGCGCTCGGCTGCTAGACCTACACTTTTTCGGTCGGCCTCTTACCACCCTACCTCACAGTCCCGCTACAGTGGTCCTATCTTGGGAACGGTGCCGTCGTGCTTTCAACGGTCAGGGACACCATGGCTGCCTCTGCTGCTATGCAAAATGCTGATCCGTCTAAAAGAAGACGGGCCAAGTGGCTCAGACTTGCTCATCGGCCCGTGGACCGACTCTCCGTCATCTCGGACCCTGCTAACATCCTCGGGTTGGGAGGCTCTGTCTTGGATTTTCTGGAGGCCCTCTGGGAGCACATTCAGGACGTGGAGGGCAAGACTCTTGCCATTCGGGAGCTCTTCCAACTACACAACACGTATGTGATCAAATGCTTGTCAAAGCAGAACGCCATGATGCATTACTACAGCCTAGCTGACATGTTGCAGTCTGAGTGGGGCAAAAACGCCACAGACAAGGCTTTTGCTACTCTACGACGCATGGGTGCAGGGTCTAAGAAGAAACTCGTGGTGCAAGCCTTGCCGGTGGTCAGAGGCAAGGACGGCCAGCCAGCTACCACAGCGACGCAGGCAGCCAACATCTGGCTTTCACACTTTGGCAGAGAGGAATGCTCTGCCATTGTTCCGCTCGAGCATGCCCAGGATATCCTCGACATCCTCCCCCCGCTTGAGATGGATACTGACAGGCAAATACTAGATGAAGATGCTTTCCTCCCCTCACTCGCCGACTTCCAGACAGCCTGCCTGCTCTAGTGCGAGGCCCAGTGCAGCCAGCATTGACGGCATCACAGGACGCCTGCTGGCCAATTTTGGGCCCGAGCTGGCTGAACTCTACTTTCCCGTCGCTGTGAAAGCCATCCTGAGACTTGAAGAACCACAACAATGGAAGGGGGGCTCATACTGGCAGATATGGAAACGATCTGGGGACCCATCGTGGCCTCAACACTCAAGGGCCGTCATGGTTTCTCCGCAGCTGGGCAAAAAATACAGGTCCCTGGTCCGTACTCCTCTCGCAGTTGCTCTGCCAGAATACGCTGGTGAATCTCAGTTTGGGGGTATTGCTGGAAGGGGAGTGGATCTTGCAGGCCTAGCTATGCGCACGTTTCAAAACATTGCCGAAATCAAGCACACCTCCATCATGTACCTACTCATCGACGTAGTACAGGCTTTCTACAAATCTGTCCGACAGCTGGTCATGCGATCAGGACACACACAGGAGGACTTAGCCTTGCTCCTCAAGACGACAGGCCTACCACCTGAGGCCATGCAGCGTCTAATGGAGAGGCTACGTACACAGGAGGCCAGTCTTACCGCAGCTCGAGTTGGTCCTCATGTCCAGGCCCTAGTGGCCTCATCCTACCAGGGTGCTTGGTTTCACTATCCAGGTTCGTCATTGGTCGCCTTTTCTATGATTGGGACTGTCCCGGGGCAGCAGCTGGGAGATGTCATTTTCAATTTCATCATGGCGGAGTGTATGCATCTAGCTGAGGACCAACTCCAGCACCTGGATCTTGCATTTAAGGTACCTACGCTGCCAGGAGCTTCTCTCGCACAGATGATGGAGCACGAACCTGCAGAGACACAACCCGCCTTAGTGCTCTTGTTCGACGACGGCGCGTTTGCCATGATAGGCGAACCACTCAAGCTGCTGGAGCATGTGCCTCAGATTGCAGGCACGGTGGCAGCATCATTTGCGTCCAGAGGTCTTTCTCTCAATTTCAAGCCTGGGAAGACGGAGATCCTCTTCCAATTTCACGGGCAGCATGCTAGAGCGGCTCAGCTCAAGCTTTGGAAGCACATGAAAGGCAAGTGGGATTGGGAGGACCACATCATGGGGCACATGAGTCTTAGCGCTGTGAGGCAATACCCCCACTTGGGCACCATCTTGGATGAAAGAGGCAGTCTGGGCCCCGAAGTGGCTCATCGTATCGCGGGCACTACCTCCTCGGCGAATGTCTTGGGCAGGAAAGTGTTCAAAGTGGTCCCCAAGAGCCCCGAGGCCCTCATCATGAAGATGCGTTTTGTGGACTCGCTACTTACCTCCTCTTTGCTGTTCAACGCTGGCACGTGGTGTAATTTGGAACGTGGTGCACACGACAAACTTAGGCATACTATGCTTAGGAGGTACCGGACAGCGTGTGGCATGCCACAATGTGACGACACTGCTACAGCGGATCGAGCAGTTCTTGCCACGGTCCAGAGGTCCGACCTGTCAGACCAACTTCGCGTCCACAGATTACGTCTCCTGGGCAGGGTCATCCATTTTGGGTCCGACACCATCAAGGGCTTACTCACCACGGCCTATAGGGCCTACTCGGGACCCAAGGGCAAAACCTCCTGGCTTCACCATGTTACGGACGATTTGGTCTGGCTCAGAACAGTCAGCAAGCAGCTTCGAGAGCTACCAGACCCACGCGACGACTTCGCGCCCTGGGAGCGAAGAGTACAGTCTTCTCTTCCTGCATGGAAGCGCCTTCTCAAGGAGGCCATCGCAGGATCGGCACGAGCGGACGCGAATGCTGCTCTTGCAGAGGGAGCTGCAAAGAAGTTTTTCTCTATCGTCCAGCCTAGCGGCTTCCCGCTGCCCATCACGGATCCCGATCACCCACTGCGACAGGCAGAAGTCATTCCACAGCCAGACCTCACATGCCCTTGGTGTGCGACACATTTCCACAAGCCCAGGTCCCTACGACAGCATATCGCTCAGAATCACTTCCGAATGGTGTCGCAGGTTGAACGATTTCTAGGACGCAGCTCTGAATGCCAGGCTTGTTGCACGGACTTCGCCTCGAGAAGGCAGCTACGCGATCATCTTGCATACGACTCAGCTCGATGTTGTCTAGCGTACATGTGCAGAGGTCAGCAGTTGGAGCATGAGGAGGCGGTCAGGGCCGCTGAGGAGGATAGGATGCTGTGTGCTAAGAGGAGGAAGGACGGTCTTGGGCGCTGGCGTACGGCATACCCTGCTACACTGGGCACCAAGGAGTGTCTTTGGGAGTCTGCTTGGGTTTTCTCGCATCTCACGGAGACGGAGGCCCGCCAAGTCCTGCAAGAGACCCACTACGAGTTCCCCATAGAGGCCCTACCGGTCCTACTTCGTGCTTGGTACGACTCCTGCGGGGCCCCTGCGTCAGAACCACCACGGGCCCAGTTCGAGGATCTGTATTATATTTTCCGACCTAACGACTACTGTGGCATATCTACTATGGCTGTGCCGCACAAGTTGCGACGACCTGAAGTATTCATATTGAACCTCTTCTGTGGTCGGCGCCGACAAGGCGACATTCAATGGCATCTATCCGACCTCCAGGCCACATCTGACATCCAATTCACCACACTGTCTTTGGACATTGCCATCGACCACATCTGGGGAGATCTGACTCGGGAGGCCACGATACAAGAATGGCATGAACATATACGTCACCACAGGATCTGGGTTACGGGGGGGGGCCACCATGCGAGACTTGGAGTGCTGCTCGCTGGAACGACGGGGGCCCCCCCCCTTTGCGCACACAATCATACATGTGGGGAGTGCCGTGGTGTACGGAGGCGCAACACATGCAGGTACGTACGGGCAATATCTTACTGTTTACAATTGCCCAACTGCTTGCGGAGCATATCCGAGCAGGCACGTGCGGGTGGATAGAACATCCACCTCCAGCTCTCTGGCGCCCACAAGCGCCTTCCAGCTTCCAGTGGATGCCTATGCGTGCTTTGGAGAGCTGCCCGCTTGTCAGTACTATCCAGTTTGATCAGTGCATGCATCGCGGCGGGTATCATAAGGAGCACGGGAGAGGAGCTACGCGCATCCTGGCCCTACGACTACCTCGACTCTACAGTTTGCTGAAAGCTCGTAACAATGGTTTCTGCAACCACGGGAAGAATGTCCACTTGTCCCTTGTGGGCAAGAACGACGACGGCACTTTCAAAACGAGTAGCAAGAAGACGTACCCACCATCCATGTGCAGTGCTATCGCTACGGCCATGTGGGACGCCATTAACACTGCACTTAACTCGGAGGCAGGAGATCCTCCAGAGATGCCACCCACCACGGATTTCGACGATGCTGTCCTACGTCAATTTTATGTACCCTGGTCGGACCACGAACAGTTCTGGGAGGCACCCGACTATGCCGGCAGCCTCAGGGTTAAACGTAAAGTTGATCCTGAAAGGTGGCGTTGGGACCCTCCTGACTCCCCTTCCTCCGCCTCTTCCCCTGCCCCTGCCGTGCCTCCCGAGGTTCCTCTGTCCGTGGCCCAAGAGGATCCTCGGCCGCAGGAGTCGGCCTACGACCTCGAGGCGGAAGAGGAGGCCGCCCTGGCATTGGGTGCGGACTGCCCCGCACCTGGCTCGGCTACCTTAGCCGTTCCCCCTCCTCCTCCTCCTTCTCCGCTCGCTCAGCTCACGCCTGAGCAGCTTGAGCGCATTCGCAAGAACCGTGCCGAAGCCAAAGAGCGCAGCGCAAACGCGTCGCGCCATGGCATTTCGAGGCCATTATGTGGCCCCACGGGTAATTTGTCTTGTTCCTTTTTCGGCCCCAGGGTGACATCGGCCCCAGAGGACCTTCAAGGCGCACGACCCCAAGAGATAGACAGAGCACGACCCAGCGTCCCAGCCTGCGTCCGACCGACCGACCCTCCTCCTCCCTCCCTCCCCATACGGTGCCCGTGATCCTCCCCCATCTCTCATCCGTCCTCCCCTGAGCCCCCCCCCCTCTCCCCCGCGGCCCGCCGCGCTCCGCGAAGAGCAGAAGGGAGAATCTGGCGCAATCGGGAGGAGGCGCGCGCGCAGAAGAGAGTCAGGGCCGAGCGCGAGGCCCGTGCTCCCTGGCTCGCGCCCGGTGGCCGCCTCCTGGTGCGCGGCCTGCCCGCCTTCCTGCTCTCCTTTCTCGCAGCCCTGAGCGCTTGTGGCCCACTGTGCGCACCTCGTGCTTGTAGAATCACTGCTGCCTTGGGGCCTCGCGAGGCCTGGGAGACCGAGGCCGCCCTGGGCAGAGCCCCGCGGCGCACAGGGCCTCCCCTGAGCCCCCCGCACGCCCCCAGCGCTGCCCCCGAGGAGGAGGGGCCTGGAGGGGGGGCCCGCTCCTGCGCCCCTGCTGGCTTTTCGCCTGCTGCCGCGAAAGCGGCCCGTCCTTGGCGCCTCGGTGGCGGCCGCGCGCCGCGCGCCGCGCGCCGCTCGGCAGGGCGCGCGCGGCTGGAGAAGAGGAGGAGGAGGAAGAGGAGGAAGAGGAGGAGAGGAGGAGAGGAGGAGGAGGAAGAGGAGGAAGGAGGAGGAGGAGGAGGAGGAGGGTCGGGCTGGACGAAGGCTGAGGAATGAAAAAAGGCAGCAGCACCACCACCACCAGTGCGAGGCGCAAGCAAGAGGGGAGTCCTTCCTGTATGTTTCCTCCTCGATGGGCAGCCAGAGAAGGCAGAGCGAAAAACCCGCTGCCCCTGACGAGGGCAATCCCAATCACGCGAGTTGAGGACGGACGGGAAAACGAGACGCGTGCACCGGAGGTCGAAGAACCACTGCATTTCGCAGATTTCTTCTTAAACAAAAAAAAGAAATTCAAAATGCAAAAATCGCCA